ATTTTAGGAAGTTTAATAATGGAATGTTAAACATGGGATCCTAATCGCAGATTCACAGTAGCTCATTCTTCCATGTTCATTCTTCCATGTCAATCTATCCATAAAGGCTAAGGTGAGGGTGTTGTCTAGATTACTTTAATACTAGTTAAYACTAGATGTTCTTACATRTTAGTCTAGGRATGRAATGTGATGTTGTTGGTTATATGTGCTAAGTCTAGGAATGTTTGATGCTTGCTGATTGTTAGTAAAGATTGTTTGATGTGTGGAAATTGTTTGGTAGTTAAATGAAGTTAAAGATTAAAAAGTATTGTTTGAGATTATTACAGTATAGGATAGTTCTGGGAACGATCGCGTACGTAAGCTCGTTACAAAACTTTGCGTGTTGGACTACGAACGATCGCGTATGTAAGCTCGTTGTAGTCTATTTGGCCTTAGAGAGCCATGACGGGGAGGACAGACCCAAAACGCGAGAAAGGGGTTGGCTCCGCCGTAGATTTAAGAAAAGTAAAGAATGTAAAGAATGTGAAAAGGAAAGAAAAGTAGAAAATGTGAAAAGTGGAATGTTTAAGTATGAGTTAATATATAAGTAAAAGAGATTATGGTGTAGAAATGCTAGTTGTGAATGTTATGTTGCTAGTAATAAATTGGGTGATGCATGTTCTATGTCTGGTTTAATGTGTTTGATTGCTTATTGTTTCCAAGTATTAAAGTTGTTGTGGATAGCAATCTCACTGAATAATTTTTTCCCGCAATCTCCCTTTTAGTTTGTGGAGGTATGTTATTTGTTTAGCAAATTAGGCCACGAGATCTAGGACTCAAAATGATCAGGGATCGGGTGTCAATTTTATTTTGATTACTGGTTTGTGGCTTTTTTCTTATGGTTTTTCTTCTGGCTTGTATCTTTGTATCTCAACTCGTTTTTAATATTATGACTAGATGGAAAAAAAAAAATACCATAACGTTGTCATGGGTTGGTATTATTAAAACTATAAAGGTGATTGTTGGGCCTAGCGAATATTAGATTGGGCCTTAAATATTTTAGCTAGAGGCTTAAAACTCGTAATGACACTCCCACAAAGTTTGGCAAAATGAGGATCTTACAATTTGCAGATCTTCTAAACAAAATCCAAGTTTCTTCACTTTCTGAAATCAACTCTCTTCCCGCTCCGGCGAATGGACACACCAATTCCGACGACGACGGCTATTGCGCTAGACGGAATCGAGGACTGGGAACTTTGCAACGACGATGGCTTCGTGTATAAGCGAAGAAAGCGATATGATATCTCCGGCGCCGGAGAGACTTCGAAACCGCCGGATCCGGAGTTAGATCCTGCGGTAGAGGAGAGGAATCGAAGGATGCGGAAGAAGAGAATACTGTTGAAGCTGAAAAGAAAGTACCAGAGAGAGATTGAGCAGTGGGAGATTTTGTCCAACAGCTTGAATGCTATGCAAGAGAAATCAGATCGATTTCAAACGCCGCAGCGAAAAGAGAACACAAATCCTAACGAAACGGTGTCGTTTCCAGAAGAAGCTGCCTCGGAGCTACTTTTCATGGTAATTAGGGTTTTGGTTTCTTTAATCAATTCGATTAAATGTTTTTTGAATTCGATGAGGAAAGTTTTTTCATGAATTTGTTGCAGGCAGAAGCACAAGAAGCGATAATACAGGACATATCAAACTTGTGTCAAGTTGCTGAAAACATTTGTAGAATGGAAGAAGAAGAGAAGAAGCAGTCTTTCTTTGATCTTGACATATGGAGCTCACCAACGGATCTAATGGCTTCGCTTTGTGCCTCTGATTAAACCCTAAATTCTGATCTTCTCTAGTATAATGCTTGTGTGTTGTGTTGTGTTGGTATTGTAGAGTGAAGTTTCTGTGCCTTTACTCGAAGTATTTAATCACTGGAGTGAATGAGAAAATTCGAATCTCTTTCTATTGAAGTTTCTTTAAATTAGTTAATTTGATTGTCATAACAAAATGTGCAACATAACAACAGCTTCAGTAACCTAAAAGAATCACATTTGAGTTCATTGTTAAAATGTGATATATGAACTGAAACATTGTAAACAATGTATCATATTTCAAACATTCTAAGAAGTTGGAAAGTCGATAATAAATTAAAAGATTTATTGAACATTCAAATAAACCACCAAATACTGTACAAAGTTCCACGTAGAGACAGATGCTCACAAAGAACTTGAGACTTTTTGCTTTTAAGATTACCTGATTCAGAGGGTTTAGATGATTTGATCTCTAGAACCAGTTTAATGGTCGTCTTCTTCAGATTCTCCTTGAGCTTCTGACTCGTCCCCGATATCCTCCAAGAGTTTATCGACATCAACTCCCAATTCTATCAGCCTCGCAGTTAGTTTCTCCACTTTGCTCTCCTCTTGACCCAAACATACCAACAAGTCATTTAACTCGTCTTCGCTCTCTTTCTGAGCTTCCTTTCTCACTTCTTCCTTAATCGCTTCTATATCAGGAAACTCCATGGGATCTTCTCCTCCTTTCAAGGATTTAATTTCCTGCTCAAGATGGTAATTTGCCTGTTCTAGACTGTTGTATGCGTCCGATAGGCTTTTTAGGTCTGATTCAAGTTTCCCAGCAATGTTCTTGTAACTAGATGCTTCAGATTCGATCTTGGCTTTTTCGGCTTTAACTGTCTCTAAACGCTGAGACGATTCTTGGAGTTCTCGCCTGATGCTTTCCATCTGAACCTTCTCCATTACTGTACTTGCTCTTTGCTCTGATCCTTGAGAGTGCTCATTCCTGCCAGAGCTGGCTACATCTTCTGCCAAGGCAGCGTTCCGAGCAAGAAGGTTCTGAAAAACACAGACGACGCAACAAAAAGAAGCTATTTCAGGCAAAAACAGTGTCAAGATTTCTTTTTTATCTGTTAACCTTAAACATAAATTTGGAGACCTATTGTACGAGTATTGTTTGCTTTCCCACTAAGAACATAAGGACCTAATTCTTCCTCCTAAACCAACCTGAGCAAAACCTAGTACTTCCTCCTAATCCCATCTCAGTAGGAAACGTAATGGTTACAATATACCATTGTAACAAGATGCACTGCTTCCTAATCCCGATATATTAGCATGACTCCCCTAACCTCCCATCTACTTTTAAATTTCATGTTACTTGTTAAGAGTCTTATTTGCAATCAAACCCCTAAATGTCATACTTTCAGAGCTCTTATTGTATTTTAATCAGTAGCATAGACAAGTTGAGAAAGAGGCATGTACCTGAATCTCCGAGCATTGTTTCTCTATAAAGGCTTTCAAGCGGTTGATGTAGTCTTTCTCATTTTCTCCGCTCCTCTGTTCCAAATCCGCTGGTACTACAGCCACCTCACTTTTTGGCCGACTATACACGTCCACGATTCTCTCTCTGATGTTACCATCCAGGCTCTTCACTAAGCCTATGAAACTAGGATCAAACAACGACAGGAGCATTGGGTGATCCTCATTCCCCTTATCCATTGCACCTGCCTCATCAACATCCTCAATCTCAGCTTCACTAGGCGTAGCTGTTCTTGCTAACGGTTTATGATCCTGCGGAGGTTTCTTGGAGGACGAGAAGATGAAGCTGCTCTGCATCTCTTCAAACTTCGAGAAGTATGATGTGAGCCCCATCTTCTGGCTCACAGCATCAACTACAGCAAAAGCATCTTTCCCATTCTCGTTTGATTTATTGTAGATGACGCATTCTCCCAGTAGAATAGACGCCAAGCCCCTTATGCAAACTGTTGCAGCTGGGTCTGCTACCAGCTCGAGCAGATAAGTTAGGTGGTGACGTGAATCTAAAAAGCACTGAACTGCAGCCGGGCAATCAACAGTCCATGTCACAAGCAGCTTTAAAATGATCTGTTGAATGTATGATTTCCCCAATGTGCTTGATTTATCTTTGCTTTTCATGGAAGAAGCAACGGCCAGGTATCTGACAATCCTCTGAAAGAGAGGCTCTGGAGTTCCCATGGAAGGCATAGGTGACTCAAGTACGATTTTCAAAGCCTGTTGAGTTTACAAAACAATTAGCTAGTGCAGGTGATCAAAATTACTGTGCACAGAACATAAGGCAGAGTAATTGTGCATTGAAGCCATTACCTTTTCCTTGCACTGAATGTTGTCCTTCAAAACATGAGAAAGGATGCTTGCAGCTCTGCAACAAGTCTGTTTGGAAGAAAATAACAAAAATAAGTTCCGGAAGACATTCAAATACATATGCAACAGGACAAACAAGTTTACCTCAAGATCACCATCAGCTTCACCAGAACAAAGACCTCGTAACAGCATACTGACACATAAATATAAAGTCCAATAAGTAATGATAGAAGAGAATTAGCTACAAATCGCAATGAGAATGAAGCAGTGAGATCCCTTCTAAACAAAACTGTGAAAGCTGCAGGAAAAAGGAAAAAAAAATAACACCTTCCAAACGACATGTTAACATCATCTTCTAGAGGATCTCGGACGGTGGGGTGTGGCTGGGGTATTAAAGTCGAAGCTAGCATTGTCTGACCCTCCCGATTTTTCTGAAAATGTTTAGAGAATGAGATTCTAGATAAAGATGCAGACAGGAAAAGTGACACTTATAAGCATCACATAGTCTATTAGAATCTGCAAGCTCACATTAGACTATGAGATAATAATAAAAGTGTCAAACCTCACAGAAGGTCTTGAAAACATAATCAGCTGCAACAAACTCTTGAATACTAGAAGTCTGTAAAATGATCCGGAGGATAGAATTGAGTGCAGGTTCTACTTGCCGATCTTCACCAAGAACTTTGCTAGCAAGGATGTCACGATTCTTGGGATGACCATCAACCAGATCTCCAATGCATTTAAATGTCTAGCAGCAAAGAATCACAAAGTAAAAGATCCATTAGAAACTTAAGTTTACTGTAACTAGAACAGAAACAGCAATAAGAAACTTGGACAGCTCAGTAGTTGCCTTGATGACACATCAACAATCTCTATAAAGAAATGCTAATGGAGCACTGTAAGCAAATCCGTTCCATGGTCAACCTAGAAACAAGGTTCAAGTTCAACAATATAATTCTATAATCAAAATGAAATTATTCCGACTTATGGTTCGTTGCACAACTCAGAAAAGGTATTTTGATATACAATGAAATATGAATGATAAAAAAAAGAAAAGGAAAGGACTGGAGGACAAAGAATTTGACTAAAGAAGATTTGCTCACCATGCAACGAACAGCGACAGGTGCCCATTGGCTTTCAACACCCAGCATCATTAGGTGGCCCAGCAGTTTTTTCTGTTAATGAATCAAATATGATAGAATAAGGAACATAATTCAATTCAGTCTGCAATGAGGAATCATAACATTTGTATATCATAAAAAACCTGAACTAAAACGGTTCTATTTGCCAGCTTGTTTGAATCTTTCCCAGGATCCGTGTCTGCACCACCCATGATCAGCATATTGATCGTCTCCAGCGCACTAAGTAAATTAACAGTCTACTGGGAATTTGTTCATTCAGAAGGACAAAGATTAGCAAAGTTGCAGGAGCTGGTAGAATAAATCCAAAATGAGAGAAGCACTCAATGATCTAACCTTTTGCTGGGTGAACTTATATGTAATCCCTCGCAGTTTTAGAATTGAAATTATCGGTTCAAAACCCATGGTCTCCCTTAAGAGTATCTGTACACGTTAAAATATCAGTCAATGTGCAGATCTAGTAAATGAATCAGGAAAAAATCAAACCAGAAACAAAGCTTCAAAACCTGATTTGAAGAACTGCTGCGTAGAAGATTGTTCAACAACTCCAAACAGTCCTGTAAAGAAAAAAACAATTTTGGTGCAAGTGTGCATGAATAAGGAACTAGATGTTAAGCATAAGCAGACCCAATGGATGATGGAAGTGCTTGCAAAACATTGCAGGAAGACAACAATTGGAAGTGTCAAGTGCCAATAAAGTTTAGTCCTAAATTGAAGAAGTGCCACTTCTTTGTTTTGCTTTTTCAAATGTCAATGTTTTAAAAGAATACAAAAGCTATAAATATTTTTAAAAGAGCCACTGGTCACCTGCACAACCACATCGCCATCTGAACCCCCTTCCTCCCTTATGATGCTAAAAATCTTTTCAAACGCACCTTCAAAGACAACAATTTTTTGGATCTCCTACAAGTAGTTAAACATCTAGTGAGATCGATCAGATCCAATGGCTGCTTTAGCTGTCCAGGCAGTAGAAAAGGAACCGTTACAAATATAACTAGGAGGTCTCACCTCTGCTTCACGTGTCAAGTGCGTAAGAAGCAATAAAGCCTCATTCCGGATTACCTGTAAGGCAAACACCAAAAAAATGAAGTTTACGAACTATGAAATTCATCCCTTCCCAGAGTTCACTTCACCAACTCATAACCTCGGTTGACTGGAGGCTAAAGATACCAGACTTTTAAGCAAACAAACAGCAAGATCATTCATACAGATGTAGTTAATTGATTACCTCCCTATCCATTAGCATATCCATGAGTCGAGTTATACCGCGAGGAGTGGTCAAAATAGCTTCCTGCAACCTGAAGAGACACTCAAGAAAAGTCTCTATAGCATATAGATTGAAAGATGATATAGAAAGAGTACTTCCCAAAATATATACCTGTTTTGAGAGTTCATAAGAAGAGCTGTCAATATCTGAAGAGTGTAATATCGAACATAAAAATCTTCTTCCTCCTGCCATACCCCCAGGAAAACAAACCATATGATGCACGCATAAAAAAAAGAACAAAACAGGAATATATTTGTTTTCCCAAAAATATAGAGTAAACTCTTACCAGCAAACTCAGAAGAAGAGTGATATTTTCAGCTTCACGGGATAGCAAGTCGGAGTTCATAGGAGCTGCATGGACTTCAGCCTTCTGTGCCCTTGCATGATCAATTGGCGTTAGAGCGCCAAGAAGAGTTTCTAAGGCACCTCGAACCTGAGCAGACAGCAAACCTATAAGTTGAAGAACAGAACAACATAGTAACAACTCCGGATAATCCCAAGGTAAAACCAGAAGACATTTACAATTGCAAATCTCATGCTAGACCCAAACTCATACTGACTTCCACCTCCAATTTCCTATTGATTTGAATCCTGGATTGGTGGATCTATTCTGATTCTAAATTACCTGTCGCAACACTGTTTGCAAGGACTACGAAAATAGAGTAAAATGCTAACCTCCCAAAACTACTTTCATTGAAAAAGAAGAGAAAAGAAAAACAATATTTTCCAAACTTTGATTCAATGAACATTACCACATTTTCCATGAAGTAAGGGAAAGAGGGCGTGCTATGACGTAAGAACAAACAGAAATATGGACAACCTAAGGGAAAAACATAAGAAATACGAAAAAAAAAGTTACAGCACCATTTCAACATCATCTCGTTGCTCCTTTAGGATGCCCAATATCACAGGAAATCCTGAAATTAATAGAATGTAAATTGTAACTTTGGATTTGATCTCACAATCAATCAAACGCATAACAGAGAAAAGAAAGACACTAACCAGATGCTCCAAAAGCTAATTGAGCAGCATTACTTTCTGCTACCACAGACTGAAGTTCTAGTATAGCAGTTCTCCTATCGTCAGGCAAGGTACCATTACTTATACGATCCAGCAGGCGTTGAATGTAACTAGAAAAACAAAAACCAAATAAAAATCCATTCCTCATTTAAACAATTTCACGATACTCACAGGCCATGATATCTACCAACTCGTAGTAAATAAGAGAGAAGAAAATGTACCTGTCTTCATTTGAAGATGGATTGTCACCAAAAACCAGCCCAACAACCCCCTGTAAAAGTTCTCAAAACAAGTTAAGAACACTCATAAACACCGGAAAACTTGGTAATGCTGATGTTAGAGTAGCATAACAACATGTCAAGAATTATAATACTGGTAAGAAGTTCTAAGATGCTTTCATGTTAAGTACACTAGCAGTCACGCTCTCCACCGTTGAGAAACTACCAAAAATCATATTCGAAATTTTCACCGAGACAATGCAAAACAGACCCCTCTCGAACTTGCAGCAATTAGAAAACCCAGAAAAAGAAGAAGCCAAGTCGAACATGCATTTGATTCGAAAAAAAAACAAACCAATAAAGCACCAGAATTTAAATTGAGAGCTGAATCCATTATCTGGGTTTCACCTTATAACGGGATGCCAAATCCATTAATCTCGTTATAGCCAAGAAAATCACCTGAAAACACAAAAATCCATAAAATTTCAACCAAAAATATAAGCAGCAACAATGGAAACCAAACACAGAAAACGGGAGAATCAGACTACAAAACCCTAGAACTCAGAAATTCATCACACAGAGGAAAAACAAAATTGACAATGGCGAGAATCGAACAACTTACAGACTATGCAATAAGAAGAGGATCAGAAAAGGAAGACGAATCCTCTAGCCAGTGAAACCGTGACAGATCGAGCCGGTCTCTCGCTCTCAGAGAGTATCCAGTTTTTCTTCACCTGACCGATCCGTTCAAGCAAAGTCAGAAAGCTGATAAACCGTCCGATCTTCACGATGGAATTATTTTCCTTTTAGAAGGAAAGTAGAGGATGTACTGTACTCACGCCCGCACCCAATACTAGCTCCTGAGTCCTAAATGGGACCATAGGGATCAGAGGATGCTCAAATATGGGCCTATTCAGCTCAAATGGGCCTCTCTATCCCCAACGACAACAACGGATTGTATGTATCATGAATGAATATACTGTTCATCTCAAATCTTGGCAATGTCAATAATACAAGTGTAAATTGGGTGGCTTTTTTTTTTTAAATTGAAAATATTTTATTTAGAGGTAAAAGTTTAGTTTACAATTTTGGAACTAATGAAATCATGTCACTTGATCATTTTTAGCTTTTGATAAGTTACAAACAACTTAGAACTCCAAACATATACTTTACATCCATAATAATAACAAATTATAGATCGAAAATATATAAAAATTACATGTTCAAATGATTATGTTTTCACTGTGATTATCGTTGGCTCATGGAAAGAAACCAACATTTTCTCTAACTTGGTGTTGAATCAGAATTTGTCATAAAATCCTATCTATAAAAGTCTATTGTGTAAAAAGCTATTTTTGAAAGCCCACATGGGCAATATATAAGCCTAATACGGTTCTACGAAAAGAAAAGAAGCCAAAGAAAATTGGTGAACTGGTTAGTTTAAATAAGCTTTTCGGAACGATATTTTGAATAAACTCTTCGGAACGAAACAACAAACACTTCGGGATGGTAAAAAAATGACAAGATACCCGGAGAGTCTCAAGTCTATGTGGGTCTGGCAAACCTCAAAATATATAAAGGATCAATTGCCCTTGGAAGAGGACATATTTTACTTAATATAAAATTGGCCTTACGAGTTCTCTGTAAACATATCTCATTCGAGATCAAATTGTATTGCTTG